CAGGTCTCGGGTCGTTTGTAGCACGGGTTTCAGCTGCATAGAAAAAGGGGTTTGAAGCAGAGAGGCCAGGTCAGTGGGGGGGGGACGTCAGGGGGGGCAGGGCAAGGGGGGGCCGGGAGGCCAGGAGGGAGGGCCAAAAAGCATTTTTGAGCACCCACCCTGCCTGGGCTCTCTGGTCACTGGACACGGCCTGTGGGGGTACCCCCCCAGGGTTTAGGGTTTAGGGTTTAGGGTTTAGGGTTGAGGGTTGAGGGTTGAGGGTTTAGGGTTTAGGGCTTAGGGCTTAGGGCTTAGGGTTTAGGGTTTCGGGCGCAGATGCTGTGAAGGTGAGGATGCAGGAGAGGCCCGATTGCTGGCGGCCATCTCACACCTCTCTCCCACCCCACGCCGTGCAAGGAATCCCAGCGGGGTCCCGGGCAGACCCGGCACCCACTGGCCTGGGGTTTCGCGCTGGCTTAGGGTTTAAGCTTTGGGGTTTGGGGTTTAGGGTTTAGGGTTTAGGGTTTAGGGTTTAGGGTTTAGGGGTTAGGGTTTAGGGTCTGGGGTCTAGGGTCTAGGGTTTAGGGCCCTTGGGGTGCTTAGGCGCCGCCCACGCACAATGGCGGGTGGGGGGGGGGCGGCCGAAGCCGTGAGTTTAAGGTCTATGGCTGTTGAAAGGCTGCGGCGGCGCCCCTAAAAACCTACACCTGAAGCCTTGAAACCCTGAAACCTGAAATTCTCAAAGCCCGAAACCCTAAACCCGAAACCTCTTAGACTCCTAAACCTAAACCCCAACCCACAAATACCCTAAAGCAAAAGACGACCCGAAAACGCGCTTCTGGGCTCTTGGACGTCTGGGAAAGGGGAAAGAGGTACAGGGTTTGGGGCCCGAAACCCTAAACCCTAAACTGATATGATCTTGGGGTTTGAGGGCGCAGGGTTGAGCAGGGCTGGCTGGGCGCCGGGCTCCTCGTCCAGCAGCGGGCAACGGGCGGACGAAGTCCAAGGGCCCGAAATTTAAGAGATTTTAAGGCGGGGGGCTCGGAACCCACAAGAAGCAGCGCGTGGCAGGAGCCGTGTGCAGACTTGAACCCACGTGATGCCCGGAGACTCCACCTAGAGATGTGACCCTAAACCCTCAAAGCTCCAGCAGTCGCCACGCGCCGCTTCCAAAAACTTACCAGTTAAGCCAAAAGCTGCGGATCGTGCAAAAAGCTCCTCCGCACGAGTTTAGGGTTGGGCGATAGCCACCGAGATTGCTAGGGATGTATGTTCATCAGCAAGTTTCATCGTAGTGAGCAGAAGAAAAGTAAGAGCCGTAGCTGTGGTAATCACAGAGCTTGCAATGCATTCTCCATCGCATCTGCAACTGCAAGCTGGTGGTTTCACGCCAACTGCCTGCCGGACTCCACCACAGTTAACGCCGCAAGCCCTAAACCCTCAACCCCAAAAGCCTAAACCCCTAGACCCCTGGACCCCTACACCCTTAAACTCCCAAACCCTACCCCTAAACCCCCTAAACCCCTAAACCCCGAAACCTTAAACCCTAAACCCCCCCCTTCCGCCTCCATCCTTGCCCTTGAACCGGGGTTTGGATTTCAGCGCTGCGGCCTTCTGGGCGTAGGCCTGTCTGTGAAGCTTCACGAAGCTTCGAGCATCAAGGGCTTGGGGTTTCGAGCTAAATGCTATAGGAGTTTAGGCTTTAGGGTTTAGGGTTTAGGGTTTAGGGTTTAGGGTTTAGGGTTTAGGGTTTAGGGTTTAGGGTTTAGGGTTTAGGGTTTAGGGTTTAGGGTTTAGGGTTTAGGGTTTAGGGTTTAGGGTTTAGGGTTTAGGGTTTAGGGTTTAGGGAGATTTTCATACCGGTGAGCAAGCAAGTAGAACAGGCCGACCCCTGCCTGTGAGGGTGGCACAAAACCTAAAGCCTCCAATCATATTTATACTATCATAACCCCCCAAATCCCGTTTATAATTATTAAGGCCCCTGTACTGTATTACTTGGTTCCTAAATATGGTCCCTTACATCCTTTAAGGGGTTCTGAGGTATGGGCCCGTGGGTTTTGTAGGGTACATAAGGGGTATCTCCGTTCAAGGGGGGTAGGATCTTTTGTGCGGGCACCTCTTCCGCCCCTAAACTTCAGGCCCTAAACCCTAAACCGAAACCCTAAACCCTAAACCCTAAACCCGAAACCCTAAACCCTTAACCCTTAACCCTAAACCCGAAACCCTAAACCCTAAACCCTAAACCCTAGACCTACCTCTCGGCCCTCAAAGGCCCCTGCAGGAAGGGTTGGCGCTGGTTTCGGGGGGACGATGGAGGTTTGACCGGGGTGTGGGAACTTTGAAGCCACAAGAAGCCACAAGAACCTCTGCACCCTGCACTTTGAACCCCTAATTAAACCCTAAACCCCAATCCCTAAACCCTAAACCTCAAACCCCTGAACCCCTGAAACCCGTAAACCCCTAAACCCCTAAACCCTCGCGGCCTCCCGAGCGCGACTGCCCTCGGCAGCCCGCGAGGCCTCCACGGTGCCAGACCCCCAACAAAACCCAAAGCCGCCGCAAGGTTTCGGCGTGCTCCTACCTCTCCATCAGAGGTCGATGCATAAACAGGCTGCATTTGATGTTGCTGCACAAAGACTGGGCTTGTTCCAAACAAGGGTCTCGTTTTGGCGTCCTTTTGTGAGCCCCGGGTATTGAACACGCCCCCAGATTAAGGAAACCAGAGGCGTTTTGAAGCTCAACTACGGCACAGGTATACCTAAACCCTAAACCCTAAAGCTTGGCTGGGGCAGCTGGACTAGAGGAGTTTAGGGGTTCCCGAGTTTAGGGTCTAGGGTATAGGGGATAGGGTTTAGGGGATAGGGTTTAGGGGATATTTAGGTGATATTTAGGGGTTAATTCGCGGCTCCTTAGGTATACAGGGGCTGTATAAGGTATATGCAGGGGTTTGTACGGGTGATAGAAGGGAATAAGAAGAAGGGCCCATTCTAGGGGTCCCTCCTTCGAACCCCCTGAGGTAGGGTCTCTTTTGCGCATATCCCCAAAAGGGCACCCCGTCAGCACACTCATCAATGTACAAAGGTACGAATATATGCTTAGACGTCTATGAAATCTAAGGGCATCAGGAACTATATAAACATGCACCACAGCCGAAAACAAAACACTTGCCCAGTTGTTGTTGTTGTTGAAGGAAAGCGAGGACAGACTGAGACCTTGAAAGTTGTCTAGACGCCACCCGAACCGCAGAAAGCGTGAAGAAGCTCACCAGAATGGAGCCGAAGCCCATCTCGCAAAGAGGGAAGCAAGCCCATCACCTGGGCACGATGTCCTCATCATTGCAGCGAACTGCTCATGCCAGGGCATCGCTGTTCGCATCTGGGCAGCAACAGCTGAGCACCACAAAATCCAGGGCGAAAGTCCCGCAGTGAAATGTTGACAAAGCGCCCGGCACTCCAGAGATGGGAAGCCCGTCGGCCAAAAGGGAGAATCCCGTCAACAACAAAACTCTGCAGTGTTTTCCCGCTGCCGGAGTGGCTCCCTACGGCCCTCGCCCCGCTAGACTGCCATGCGAGCCAAGTGGCCGCCAAACATGCCAAGGGAGTGATCAAGCGTGTTAAAACGTAAACCAAGTGAACCCTTCGCTGGGCTCAGTGGCATTTCTGAGGCCCCCGTAGCAGCCGAGGACCCGGGGAAGGCCAGGAGGCGAACCACAATGCCAGAAAAAAAACAATCCAGGGCACTAGGATGTTAGGTTGTTCTAGATTCCGAGCCTTTTTCCGGACCATGGCGTGTTGCTTGTCGCTTAATTGCCTAAACCACGCCACCAAAAGGCCTCAAAACCCCAAAGCCCTTCGAGCCCTCCGAAAGCCCCAAACCCTAAAACCGTAAATCCCCAACCCTGACCCTGAAACCCTGCAACCCTAAAAACCCCAACCCTGTAACCCTCGAGCCCCAAATCCTCACCTTGAAAATCCCTGTAACCCTAAATCCTGAACGGGCGAGCTGTGTGCCGTGTAGTGCACGAAGTGCACGAAATCCTGAACCCTGAACCCTAAACCCCAAACCCTGAACCCTACAACCGCCAAAAATCCTCAAGGTCCCAAGTCTCGCCTCCGCTGCCGCCTCGGCCGCCTCCTAGGGTTGAGGGTTCTACAGGGCAGGGTTTAGGGGTTCTAGGGTTTGTGGCTTCTAGGGTTCTCGGGTTTATGGGTTTGGGGTTTAGGGTTTATGGCTTCTAGGGTTCTAGGGTTTAGGGTTTAGGGTTTAGGGTTTAGGGTGTAGGGGGTTTGTGGCTTAGGGGATAGGAGGATAGGGCTTAGCTCGAGGGCTCTAAGAGCTTAGGGGATTTCATGAGAGCGCCCCGTTGTCGCCCTTGCTACCCCTGCTCCGAGCTTCCGGGCCTCCGAGCAGCGATTCTTACACCGGACTTCTCCGTTCCACTCATCCTGCCAAGCAGGGCATGCGGTTGAGAGGCCAGGGTTGGGATGCTGCCCCTTATACTAACGGTCCTTACTTGGGATGATACTAGGGGGTGCCATAATCCCTATGAAGGACTGTTAGTGTAAGGGGGAACATCCCCCAAGGTCGAGGCCTCTTGCTGGTGAGCCCGATGGTTGCAGGCCCTGGGGCTTCGGGGAGTGGGTTTTGGAGTCTCAGGTTTGGGGGCTTAGGGGTTTCGGGGATTGGGTTTAGGGCTTGGGGTTTAGGGTTTAGGGTTTAGGGTTTAGGGTTTAGGGTTTAGGGTTTAGGGTTTAGGGTTTAGGGTTTAGGGTTTAGGGTTTCGGGGCTTGAACCTGATGCCCTGAACCCCTGTGAACCCTGAACCCCTTCCGAGAACATCAGCTGCTACCCCCCCCCCCAACCCCAACAAAGACATAGGCACAAGGAGCCATTTTGGGGGAGTCATTGAGGGAGCAGGGAGGGGGGAATTATTTAGGGAACCGGGGGAGGCTGCGGCTTGGCTCTAAAGACGTCCGCGCGCTATGTCCTTCGTTTCCTGCTCGAACTGTCGAAAGCAGAGCTCAAGGCTCGCCATACTCCGCACCATTGTCGTCTTGCACCACTGTCCACTTCCCTTGCTTGGTCTCCACCATCTGTATTTGCGCCATTGCTGCCTGCAACCCACATTGTAAGCATCGCAGCTGCTTCTTGCCATTCACACACTTTGCACTTAGCTGATCTAGCTAAGGTGCTTGCCACCCTTAATGCAACAGGAAGACTGTGATCCACTCGGGGAGAGTCTTTAATGGGAGTTGCCGAGAATGAGGGGTCCCGTTTCGGGGGTATATCCGGGAACCCTCAATTTATGGGAAATAACCAAGGTAAGTTGGGATGTTCCCTCTTAAGCTAACAGTCCTTAACAGGGATGATAGTACCCCCTATTCTAACTAAACCCTAAACCCTGAACCCAAAAGGTATTGGAGTCTCCGAGCGCAGCCGCGCCTCACCGTTGCAGCAGTCGCAGATGCCGTCGTTCACCGCCCCGAGGCGAACGAGGCGCTCCGGAGCGCCTGGCGCAAAGGGGATCATGGGGTTTAGGGTTTAGGGTTTTGGGGTTTAGGGTTTAGGGTTTAGGTTTTAGGGTTTAGGGTTTAGGGTTTGGGGTTTAGGGTTTAGGGCCATAAGGGGGTTTTACGAACATGGGGGTAGCCCCAATATGGATCCCCAAATAGTAGGATTCCCTTTTTTCTAATCAGGACCCCAACAAGGTACCCCCAATTTAGGAAGCCCCCAGAAGGAAGGAAGGCAGGAAGAAAGGAAGAAAGGAAGAAAGGAAGAAAGGAAGAAAGGAAGAAAGGAAGAAAGGAAGAAAGGAAGAAAGGAAGAAAGGAAGGAAGGAAGGAAGAAAGGAAGAAAGGAAGAAAGAAAGAAAGGAAGAAAGGAAGAAAGGAAGAAAGGAAGAAAGGAAGAAAGGAAGAAAGGAAGAAAGGAAGAAAGGAAGAAAGGAAGAAAGGAAGAACGGAAGAAAGGAAGAAAGGAAGAAAGGAAGAAAGGAAGAAAGGAAGAAAGGAAGAAAGGAAGAAAGGAAGAAAGGAAGAAAGGAAGAAAGGAAGAAAGGAAGAAAGGAAGAAGGAAGAAAGGAAGAAAGAAGAAAGGAAGAGGGAAGGAAGAAAGGAAGAAAGGAAGAAAGGAAGAAAGGAAGAAAGGAAGAAAGGAAGAAAGGAAGAAAGGAAGAAAGGAAGAAAGGAAGAAAGGAAGAAAGGAAGAAAGGAAGAAAGGAAGAAAGGGAGAAAGGAAGAAAGGAAGAAAGGAAGAAAGGAAGAAAGGAAGAAAGGAAGAAAGGAAGAAAGGAAGAAAGGAAGAAAGGAAGAAAGGAAGAAAGGAAGAAAGGAAGAAAGGAAGAAAGAAAGAAAGGAAGAAAGGAAGAAAGGAAGAAAGGAAGGAAGGATGGAAGGAAGGATCATGGAGCTTCTCAACCCGGAACCCGCCATCGGCGCCTCCCGACCACGTGCAGGCAAAGCCCGGTAGTGCTGGTCCCGGAAGTCCTGGCCACCGCGACGAGCCACATCGAAGGAGATAGAGGTGGAATTGAAGTTTAGGGTTTTTTAGGGTTAGGTTTAGGTTTTAGGGTTTAGGTTTTAGGGTTTAGGGTTTTTAGGGTTTTAGGGTTCCGATGACCCTGGCGGCGTGTTGGAACCCTCTTTGCCCCCCAAAAACGGGGGGGGGTAGGGGGGGGTACCCCGCCAGCTTTTCCGTGGAGGAACAGGCCACCCACACCGCGTAAACTCATGGACCATAGGCGTTTTCGCACAGGGCATAGGGGCTCTTTTGGAAAAAAACCCTCCCCCCCCGCCAGCTTTTCCATGGAGGAACAGGCCACCCACACCGCCTCATGGACCATAGGCGTTTTCGCACAGGGCATAGGGGCTCTTTTGGAAAACCCCCCCCCCCCCCCCCCCCCCCCACCCCCCCCCCCCAACCCCCCCCCCCCCCCCCCCCCCCCCCCCCCCCCCCCCCCCCCCCCCCCCCCCCCCCCCCCCCCCCCCCAACACCTCTCAACAGGAACTGCAAACAAAATCACCAAACCCCAAACCTTAAACTTGTTCTCCTGCGGGGTCGGCGGCTTGAGCCGGAGGCTCTTAAATTTAGGGCTGCAAGGGTGGGACCGTTAAGCCCTCTGGCAAGCATCTCTTCGGACAAACCAAGGCAAAATATCAAATATCCTAAGGGCTTACCTACTTACCGGGGGTTTTGGGTGGGGGGGGAAGAGGTGGGGGGTTCTCGGTTGCAGTTCACCTGTAGTATCTTGGCAGGCGCCTGAAGAGGTGTCGCACCCGAAGCCGGCTTAACCCACGTTGGTTTAGTGGTTTGGGGCTGGGTTTTTTTTGGTTTAGGGGTGTAGTTGTTTGTTGATCTAGATTCGCGCTGCAACGAGACGTGGTCCTCCTCCAGCGAGTGAGACTAACAGGGGTAGGGCGCATTCTTGGGTAGCTCTTACTACAGTTACTTAGTAGCCCAGTCACCATGTTATAATAAGGGCACCCTTTTTTGGTTGGTTAGTTTAGAAGGGAACCCAGAATTTAAAAAAAGTAACCACTGGGCTACCAAGGTTACGTGGGGTGCATGTCGAACCCCACCCGACTGTTGACGACTCTTTCAGAAGATGGCATAAGCTTTGTGAAAAGGGACCTCAAGAATTGGGTACCCTACACCATGAGCCCTAAACCCGAAACCAGAAACCCTAAACCCTAAACCTCCTCTCACAATCTCCCTACCAGCCCCACGTCCTGAGCACGCAGAGGTGCCTGGCTCGTCACTGCCATCCGGACCTGGAACCCTTACTCTAGGGGCCTGAATAATTAGAACATGGTTTTGGGGGTTTTGGGTTTAGGGTTTAGGGTTTTGGGGGTCACTATTGTTTATCTATAAAGAATTATTCCGACCCCTAAGGGTTTGGGATTAGGGGTTCGGGGTTTAGGGGTCTAGGGTTTAGGGGTTTCGGTTTTAGGGGTTTAGGGCTTAGGGGTTTAGAGTTCGGGGGTTTAGGGGTTTTGCGGTTTAGGGGTTTAGGGTTTAGAGACTTCTGAGGTGAATTTAGGCTAGGGCCACAGAGCGTGCAGATCTGATTTTGCCCCGGGTTGTTCGAGCAACCAGGAAAGGCGCAGCGCGTGTCCCCCTAAACCCTATAAACACTAAACCCTAAACCCTAAACCCTAAACCCTGACCCTAAACCCTAAACCCTAAACCGCATAGACCGAACCCTAAACCCTAAACCATGAGGGGGTCAAGGCTTTGGGCTTTCCCCCGAGGTCTCGGTGCTCTAGCAACTACCACAACTCAGAGCTCCCTGAGGTTTTAGGTTTAGGGTTTAGGGGTTAGGGGTTAGGGTACCCTAAACCCTAAACCCTAAACCCTAAAACCCTAAACCCTAAAACCCTAAACCCAAAAGGGCTAAGATGTTGGCGATGCGGGTGCTCCTCATGGGCATGCTGGGAGTGGGGCAATCACAGTAGTCATCGTTGACCACGGAGAAACTCGGAAAGCCTCGGTTGAAAGCCAAAAGGTTTAGGGTTTGGGGTTTAGGGTTTAGTTTCGGGTTTAGGGTTTAGGGTTTAGGGGTTAGGGTTTAGGGTTTAGGGTTTAGGGTTTAGGGTTTAGGGTTTAGGGTTTAGGGTTTAGGGTTTAGGGTTTAGGGTTTAGGGTTTGGGGTTTGGGGTTTGGGGTTTGGGGTTTGGGGTTTAGGGTTTAGGGTTTAGGGTTTAGGGTTTAGGGTTTAGGGTGCGTAGTGAGCTGCAGCCCTTAAGGCGCCTTGCCGGCGTGCGTCCTTACCCCACCGCACACTCTACTTGTGAGTGTTGGGGCGGGCAAGGGGTGGGCATATGAAATGGACCAGGTATAAGGTCTTTCACATAGGGTTTAGGGTTTAGGGTTTAGGGTTTAGGGTTTTAGGGTTTAGGGTTTAGGGTTTAGGGTTTAGGGTTTAGGGTTTAGGGTTTAGGGTTTAGGGTTTAGGGTTTAGGGTTTAGGGTTTAGGGTTTAGGTTTAAGGGTTTAGGGTTTAGGGTTTAGGGTTTAGGGTTTAGGGTTTAGGGTTTAGGGTTTAGGGTTTAGGGTTTAGGGTTTAGGGGCAACTCGGGCCTACACCCTAAACCCTAAACCACCCTAAGCCCAGTGCCGGGTTCTGGGCGAGGACTTCGGTTTCGTGATGCTGCGACGTCCGTCTTCAGTGGACCCCGCATGCGAAACGCTAGGGTTTTGGTTTTAGGGTGTAGGGGTCAGGGTTTAGGGTTGCACGTATCACCCCACACCCCGATTTGCTGTGGGCGGGGCAGCGTTTTGAAGTTAAGCAACGGGAGATACTACAGCCCTAAACCCACGTTGGAAAACGACCAGCTAGGGTGATTGCTAACTAGGGAACTGCAACAACAAGCTACCACAACAAGGGAACTAGAGTATTTACTATCGAAGCCTACCCTAGTTGCTGAGTACCCTGGCCCAGACAAGGTTAACCTTTCAACTGCGATAGGACTGTATATACCCAAAAGGTTAAAGGTTATCTGCTCAGCTACGAAGTTATAGCAACTTGTGCGTAAGATTCTTGGTGAAGTGGTTCGGCGCGTCTCGTGTAGGCTTTCGGTCCTAGGATTTGGGGTCTTGGGGTCTTGTGTTGCCCAAACCCTACACCCTACACCCTAAACCCTAAACCCTAAACTCTAAACTCTAAGCGCATGGGGTTTGGTGCAGCCCTGAACCCCCCCCTACACCTCCATTGCTGGGCAAGGGGCTCTTCCCGCCCGAGAGGCACTCGAAGCGACCTGGGCTGTCTCTACTAAACGAACCCTAAACCCTAAACCCTGAACCCGAAACCCTGAACCCTAAACCCTAAACCCTAAACCCTACATGAGAACTCCCCAGAGGCCATTCAATGCCCCTCAAAAAAAAAAATGCAGGGCATCTTAAAACCCTGCAAACCCTCGAGCCCCCAAAGCCCCGCAAGAATCCTAGGCCCCAAACTGCCTAGACCCTAAGACCCTCAGAAACCCTAAGACCCTACGACCCTAAGACCGTCAGAAACCCTGAGACCACGACCCTGAGGCCCGAAGCACCCCCAAAACCCCGCAGATTCCTACACCCCTAAGGCCTAAGCCCGACACCCCAAACCCTAAACCCTACTCCCCAAGCCCTAAACCCTAAGCCCTAAACCCTAGATCCTAAACCCCAAGACCCTGAGACCCGCGACCGACTAAACCCTAAGCCCTAAACCCTAAAATCCTGAAACCCTAAACCCTGAATCCTGAACCCTAAAACCTTAAAAACCCTAAAACCCTAAAACCTAGAACCGCCTAAACCCTAAGACCCTAAACCCGCCTAACCCTAAGACCCTAAATCCTAAGCCCTGAACCCTAAAACCCCAAACCCTAAAACCCTGAACCCTAAAACCCTAAAAACCTAAAACCCTAAAACCCTAAAACCGTCTAAATCCTAAGACCCGAAGCCCTAGACCCTAAGAAACCCCAAAAGCCTAAAACCCTGAGACCCTAACACTCTACAACCCTAAAGCCCTAAAGCCCGAAAACCCTAAAACCCTAAAACCCCAAAATCCCCCAAAAAGCCTAAAACCCTAACACCGCCTAACTCCTAAACCCTAAACCCTAAACCCTAAACCCTAAACCCTAAACCCTAAACCCTAAACCCTAAACCCTAAGGTCGGAGCCCTGGGCCCGCATCGCCGCAAAGCGCTCCCGCAGCTCTGCTGGGACGCCTCCCGCAGCTCTGCTGGGGCTGAGGGTTTAGGGTTTAGGGTTTTAGGGGTTTAGGGTTTAGGGTTTAGGGTTTAGGGTTTAGGGTTTAGGGTTTAGGGTTCAGGGTTCAGGGTTCAGGGTTCAGGGTCTAGGGTTTAGGGTATATTAGGACCTATAAGGGGGGTAAAAATGGTGATAAGAATGTGTTTAGGCCGGGGCTTTGGGAGTTGGGAGTGTGGAGGCGTTGTGGTTCCGGGTTTAGGGTTCAGGGTTTAGGGTTTAGGGTTTAGGGTTTAGAGTTTACGGTTTACGGTTTAGGGTTTCTAGGGTTTCGGGGGGTGACGGCGATGGGATGGGGTCCTCCAAGCCCGCTAGCGTGTAGCACCCCTGAGCCCTAGCAAGCTCTCGCAGCCATCTCAAGACCTCAGTTCACCCTACTCATGATCCGTACCCGCGAACCTCCAGACAACCCCCTAAACCTAAAGCCCTGCAGCCTGAGCCCTTTACCCTGAGACCCAAATCCCATCATGACGGGACTGCTCCGAGTTCGGCTCCTTTTTCTTTTGGAGGGGGGGGGGGGGGGGTGCTCGTTTCATTACGGAATCCTGTGCCCCAAACCCTAATTGAACTTTGTCTTCTAGACCCTGAACCCTAAGCCCCACAAGCGCGAAACCCGAAACCCTAAACCCTAAACCCTAGTTTGGAGCAACCAGCACCCGATGCCCCGAACCTCGCACGAAGGCAGCGGCAGGTCGCGAAGGCTGTGGCTCCCCGACGGCTGCAGCCGGCGCCTCTGCAGGAATGCCTTTAGGGTTTTGGGTTTAGGGTTTAGGGTTTGGGGCTTAGGGTCCGGGGCTTAGGGTTGAGGACTTTGGGCTTTGGGTTTTGGGTTTAGAGCTTCGGGTTTCGGACTTTGGGTTGAGGGGTTAGGGTTTACAGGTTGGGAAGTTGAAGATGGAACAACAGGGACATGATAGCACAGGTTGCCTCTATTTGCTTATCCACTTACCAGTTCCTGAGAGCCTCCCAGCAGGGTTGCTGGCTGAACGAGGGTAAACCCTAAACCCTAAACCCTAAACCCTAAACCCTAAACCCCAAACCCTAAGCCCAACAAACCCAACAAACCTCACCGCCTCCTGCATCGGCTTCCTCGGCTCCGGCTCCGGGTCGCGCGCCCGGGCAGGGCCCTGGCTTGCAGGTACTTATGAACCAATTAGAGGTTCAGGGTTTAGGGTTTAGGGTTTCGGGTTTAGGGTTAGGGTTCAGGGTTCAGGGTTCAGGGTTTGGGTTTCGGGTTTCGGGTTTAGGGTTTGGGGGTTCCTAGAATTGAGGATTAGAGCATTTTGGGGGGCTTATAACCCTCAACCCTAAACCCTCTGTTGTGAACCGAAGGCTTAGGCTCTGGACTCGGAGCCTAAACGCTGAAACGCTTAGCTTCGGGTGAGGTACCCTAAACCCTAAACCCCAAACCCTAAACCCTAAACCCCGAACCCTAAACCCTAAACCCTCCCAAGACCTCAACTCTCAACCCTGAAGCACCGGGAACCTTAAACGACTTTGAAGGCCTCATTGTTTGGGGTTTAGGGTTTGGGGTTTAGGGTTTAGGGTTTAGGGTTTAGGGTTTAGGGTTTAGGGTTTAGGGTTTAGGGTTTAGGGTTAAGGGGTGAGTTTTGAGGGAGCACAGACAGAACTCTACCTTCAACCCTATCTCAAAAGCCAGTAGACTCTAATGCTGGCCGACAACTCCCTCTTTCGCCACAAAGTCCCAAAACCCTACGAAAGACCTTCACCCCTGAACCCCTAAACCCTGAAACTACACCCTGAACCCTAAACCCTGAACCCCAAACCCTAAACCCTGAACCCTAAACCCTACACCCTAAACCCTAAACCCTGAACCCTAAACCCTGCACCCTGAACCCTAAACCCTAAACCCTAAACCCCAAACCCTAAACCAAAACCCCAAACCCTAAACCCTAAACCCTAAACCCCAAACCCCAAACCCTGAACCCTCCTCCTTCGCGGTGGGATCTCGATCCTCGGGCACCGCCGCCAGTGTGGGCTCCCGTCTCCCGCGCAGCGCTGGCGGCCTGCTGCGCTAGGGGTTCTTTAAGGGGATTTAAAGCTTTGGGCTTAGGGCTTAGGGCTTAGGGTTTAGGGTTTAGGGTTTAGGGTTTAGGGTTTAGGGTTTGGGGTTTAGGGTTTAGGGTTTAGGGTTTAGGGTTTAGGGTTTAGGGTTTAGGGTTTAGGGTTTAGGGTTTAGGGTTTAGGGTTTAGGGTTTAGGGTTTAGGGTTTGGGGTCAGAGCTTTAGAAGTTTACAGGTTCAGAGGTTTAGAGCTTTAGAGGTTTAGAGGTTTAGACATTTAGAGATTTAGAGGTTTAGAGGTTTAAAAGGGGGAGTTTTGGGGGAGGGGGGGGGGGAAAGAGTTTGGGGCTTCGGGTTGAGGGTTCCGGGTGTAGGGCTCAGGGTTGAGGGTTGGAGGCTTTGACTTACTGGCGGTTTCATGAAAGTGGGCCCCTAAACCCTAAACCCTAAACCCTAAAACCTGAACCATACTGATTGCTATGGGAGGTTCATGGCCGATCAGCCCTAAAAGGGGCGAGAGTCTTGGACTCGCCAGTCCATTGAATAAAGGGTTTTGGGTTTAGGGTTTGGGGTTTGGGGTTTAGGGTTTAGGGTTTAGGGTTAAGGGTTAAGGGTTTAGGGTTTAGGGTTTAGGGTTTAGGGTTTAGGGTTTAGGGTTTAGGGTTTAGGGTTTAGGGTTTAGGGTTTAGGGTTTAGGGTTTAGGCTTAGGGCCTCCCAGACGCCCTTATTTTGAGTACTCTTAGGAAGACGGAAGCGCCGAAGATGAAACGTGCGAAGGGCCCTGAGTTTCAGTCATTTCGTGGGCCGTTTAAACCCTAAACCCTAAACCCTAAACCCTAAACCGTTGTCATTGTCAGAACCGATTCACAACTACTATCATGCCCTCGAATATACATTGAATGGGCCCGAGAATGCCAGCAAGATACAGAACAAAGCAGCGAATGAAGTGTCCAGCGTGTATTCCGGCCTTTACTTGTCAGCCCTAAGCCATGAACCTTGAACACAAAACCCCCTATAGACCCTTCTATAACCAGCCTCTTTAGCCCCTAATAATTGTCAACGGCACTGATAACCAATTAAAGAACCCTACGTAGGCTTACTGCTGTGACCCGCTGACGCAGGCAACACATTCCTCTGGGTGGCGAAAGAGTTCAGGCACATGGCCCCCGCACAACACTCCGAACCAAGGGTTCACAACCTCGAAGGTGCGGCTTTTGTCCATCACCGGACGCGGCCAGATTGCCCCATCCACAGCTTTGCAGGGGCGCCACTGTTAATGGAAGATTCCGCGGTGAACCAGGCAAGGAGCCGGTCGATCTCAGGCTCCACACAGACCGATTCTGAGACAAACTCATCTGCAGTCTAGTGGGAGCAAGAGATCCGCCGCCAGCCAACAGTTGACGTCGCGGGAGTGCCTCGGGCTTCTCATCGCGGCCGTTTGGGGGCATGACCTCCAGTAGCTGGCGATGACGGTGCATCTCGCTGTCCCATTGACGGCGAAACATGAGCCTTAGAGCTTCAGCCACGATGCTACAGCCTCAGAAGCCCACCCTTAAAAACCCTTGTAAACCCTCGTAAAACCTTACATACCCTTATCAACCCCCTATAAGCCCCCCTAAACCCTAAACCCTAAACCCTAAACCCTAAACCCTAAACCCTAAACCCTAAACCCTAAACCCTAAACCCTAAACCCTAAACTAAGTGAGGGGTCGCTTCCGTCGAGCGACAGACCCCGAACGCTCGGCCGAGGGCCTTACAGCCCGAGCGCCCAAGCGAAAAAAGAGAAACGGAAAGGTGAGGGTTAAGCCTCACCGTCTGTCCTGGACAGGCCAACGGACATCGGCCTTTTTTACGACAACGTCAGTACTCGCCTCTGGTAGCTGGATTCCTGGACGTCCAGGCAGGCTGGTTGCTCAATTTTGGGAAGGGCCCCCCACGTCTTTGGGGCGCCTCTGCAAGCAAGGGCTCTCGGCCCAAGGGCTGCCGGGACCAAGGGTACCCCGAGCCCAGGCCTTCCCGACCAAGGGCCCCGCGGGCCAAGGGCCCCCCAAACCCCAAATTTTCGGGCCAGACCACAAGAACCCCCCGAACCCCTGCCAAGAGGGGCGGGGGTCAGGGCCGGAAGGGCCCTGGTTCAGGGCTAGAGGAAGGCCCCCCGCGCCAAAGGGCCCCCGGACGAAGAGGGCCGTACCATCAATGAACAATGTTTTTTTTTACTGGAATCGATGGTTTTGCGCACCCCTCCACTTTACACCAGAAGCGCCAGGAAAGCCCAGGAAGCCCCCAAGAGGCGCCAAGAGCCACCAAAAGGCCCCCTAAAAGAAGGGGGCCACAAGATTTGTCCGTGCCCACAATGATTTTTGAATATTGAAAACGATGGTTTTAGGCACCCCTGCCCGCAATGAAAAATGTTGTTTTTAGTACTGAAATCGATGGTTTTGGGCACCCCTCCATTTCACCCCAAAAGACCAGCAAAGCCCCAGGAAGCCCCCAAATCAGCAAGGGCCTCTACGGGCCCTGACGTGCCGAAGGCCCGAAAAGGGCCGAGGCTACCCCGAACCCCAGCTAAAACCCTAACACCGCAAAACCCTGCGAAGGCCTTCAAGCAAATAAGGGCCTCTACGCGCCCTAACGTGCCGAAGGCCCGAAAAGGGCCGAGGCTACCCCGAACCCCAGCTTAAACCCTAGCGATTGGAATGCTCATTGGCGAAAAAAAACTAATAGGTTCCCCTGACCTTCAAATGAATAAAGCCTCTACGGCCCCTGACACGCCGAAGGTCCGAACAAGGCCCCGAAAAACCCCAAGAGCCACCAAAAGGCTTCAAAAGGCTTCAAAAGGCCCCCTAAAAGAAGGGGACCCCAGGATGCCCGTACCCGCAATGAAAAATGCGATGTTTTGGTACTGAAATCGATGGTTTTTCCTTCATTTTACCCCGAAAGGGGCCAGGAAAGCCCCCAGGAAGCCCCCAAAAGGCCCCAAGAGCCACCAAAAGGCTTGAGGCCCTTAAAGAAGGGGAATCCAGGAGCAGGCACAAAGGGTTTCCCTGACCTTCAAATAAATAAGGACCTCTACGGGCCCTGACACGCCGAAGGCCCGAAAAGGGCCGAGGCTACCCCCAACCCCAGCTTAAACCCTAACAGCACAACTTTAAAAACATCAAAGCAAGCATCAGAGCACAAGAAAATACATTCTATAAACCCTAAACCCTAATAGAGTATAGTTTGGGTGGCCGGGGTGGGTTGACGGGCAACGCGAGCGCGCGGCCCGGGGTGTTTCACACCCGAGCGCACGCCCTCCCCCGACACACCCTAAACCCTAAACCCCCGTTTTGCCTGGAGTCGCCCTCCGGGACCGCAGCGTAGAGGCCGAGCAGGACGAGCCACAAAAAACAGACCAGGGCTCCTCCGCAGGGCTTTGGGGGTAGGGTTTAGGGTTTAGGTTTAGGTTTAGGGTTTAGGGTTTAGGGTTTAGGGTTTAGGGTTTAGGGTTTAGGGTTTAGGGTTTTGGGTTTTGGGTTTTGGGGGTTTCAAGAAGGCTTTAGGGTTTTGGGGTTTTAGGGTTTAGGGTTTGCGGGTTTTAGGGCTTTGGGGTTTTGGGGGTTTTACGGTTTGAGGGTATTATTAGGGGTTTAGGGCTTGGGAACTTTTTGGGCAGGTGGGTATTCTGGCCCTTAGGTTGGAAGCTCTCCAAGGACGCGAGGTTGAGGGTTTAGGGTCCAGGCTTTCGGGTTTTAGGGATTTGGGCGTAGGGGGTTTAAGGTTTTGGTGTGGCTCCTCCATACAGGGACCCTCACCCTGAATCGTGAATCCCTAGACCTAAACCGTGAACCTGCCTAAACCCTAAACCCTAAACCCCAAACCCCAAACCCTAAGCCCTCAAGGGTCCGGCGAGGCACAGCGCGCGCCGGAGCTCGCACCCGAAGAAGGACCCGAGCCTGCGAAGCAGCATGGACTTGTTTACGGGCAAAGTCATAAAATTAGCGGGCCTTGTCAGAAAATTAGCGGGCAAGGTCACACAAAACTAGCGGGCGAGGATGGGCGAGGTCACAACAAAATTAGAGGGCAAGGTCATAAAATTAGCGGGAATGGGCATAAAATTAGCAGGCTATAAGATGAGCGGGCAAGGTCATAAAATCGGTGGGCAAGGTCTTCACTTCGTATGTTTCTAGAGGACCCGGGGCGTCCCGGGAGGTCCTGGGACTTGCCTTTCTGGCGGGATTTGGGGTTTAGGGCTTAGAGCTTCGGGTTTAGGGTTTGGGGGTTGGGGCTGGGGTTTAGGGTTTAGGGTTTAGGGTTTAGGGTTTAGGGTTTAGGGTTTAGGGTTTAGGGTTTAGGGTTTAGGGTTTAGGGTTTAGGGTTTAGGGTTTAGGGTTTAAGGTTTAAGAAGGCAGAACCTAGCGCGCGGCGTGCTTGAGCCCAGGTTGACATAAGCCAGCCCCCCAGTCGCAAGAACAAACCCCCAAAGCCTACCCACCAAACCCTAACCGGACCTACATCCTACCCTCAACCCTAAACCTTAAACCCTAAACCCTCAACCCCTAAACCCCTAAACCCCTAAACCCCTAAACCCTAAACCCTAAACCCTAAACACCCTCAGACCCAAGCCCTAAACCGCCTGAAGCCCCTGAACCCCTACTTGGAGGTTCGGTGGATCTCCTGAACCCTTGAACCCCTAAACCCCAAAACCACTTGACCCTAAACCCCAAAACCCCCTAAACCCCCCAAACCCTAAACCCTAAACCCTACACCCTAAACCCTTTTCAGAAGCGGGGTACTGGGGCCGGAGTCACAGTGACTAGACTACGTAGCTTGCTTTTTCCGATTGAGCCCAAGGCGCCTGTCATGCAGGAACTTGTCTCATGAATGCTATTTGACGCTTGCATGTTTGTTCATGCCTATACAAGTGTTCGTCTAACAGCTTCTGCACTATACGAAATCCAACTCGGCGCTTGTGTACAGGAAAATCTCACACCCGTCTTATCAACGAGTGGATGAGTGCGCCTCAAGAGTAGTGAAATTCGTCACTCAGCTGGAGCTTCTTCTTTCACAACGGCCTCGTTGCTCTCCAAGGCGTCGTTCAGAAGCTTGGGCTTCATGCTCTTGGTCAAGCAATCAGCCAACTGAAGGTGGGTTGGAATCCATCGCAGGATGTCACCGAACGGTGCGAAGGCTTCGCTCGTCGGTGTCTCGTCTACCCACAGTGCTTGGCGCAATGCTGTCATTTCGATAGCAAGACGCTTGTCTTCCACTGGTCTGGGTACCGACGACAGCAAATGATCTGTGAGCGATCTGCAGTCGGAGTACTGCAGGTGTAGCATCTTTCTCGGCGCTACTTCGCTCCAGTCATGCAGTGACGGCAGTTTGCCTTGCAACTCTAGGAGTGTCGCACGGATCCTGTCTCCGTGCTCGGTGGCACGCTGCAGGCTGTACGCTTCACACTGTAGTGTCGCGCGGCAGACTCGTTTCATCGTAGAGCTACCGAATGCAACCAGGTGAAGCTTGTGCTTGGGTGCGTTCACGTCGCGTGCTGTTTCCACGTCAGTGAGGTAGTGCAACCTCCCCCTCTGGGACTTGTACCCAGCTTCAGCAGCAAAAGAGGCGTCACAAAACGTGACTACTGCGAGGGGGCCACTGCTCCACGGCAGTATCTTGGCGCGATACACGATGCTGCGCTCCGCGTCGCCCAAGGCGAGTGCGACCACACGGTTGGCCCCTCTCATCGTGTCGATGGTCGCGACAGTCACTCGCTGCTGCAACGCGTTGACGCGGTACGCGAGGTCGGGTCTTGTAGCCCGGGCCACCCACGCGAGTGAACCTATGACGGACCGAAGCGCCGTCCTCTGTCCTTGTGTGACAGGTGTCGTCAACTTTGCACCCTTGGGGATCTCGAGGGGAGCGATGGCACGCGTGTTGTCCCTTGAGTTGATCTCGATGGTGCCATCGGGGTGCTGAGCGTATTCTCTGCCACAGAACCTGAAGCTACCCTCTTCGATCCTCCCGATTTTGAAGTGGTCCAGCAACTGCTGGATCTTCAGCTCGCCCTCACCGAACGCTGCCCAGAAGAAGTCGTCCACGTGAGTGCACAGCATAGCGCACAGCCGGCCGCTTGTGTCGTGCGCGTAGTACAACGCGGACATGATCTGGGATGACTTCAGTCCGATGCACTTTGTCTCTTCGACTATGCGAAGGTAGAGGTTTCGGCCGGCGTCGGTCGTACCATACACTGGGACACGGGCAATCATGTAGCCGGATTCCTGGATCTCCTTGTCCGGAACGCCCTTGGGGTTGCTAGGAGCCTTGAGGATCAGCAATCTCTCGAGCGGCTTACCCTGAAAGTAGGCGTTCGTGATGTCGGCTGCCTTGATTCGCAAACCGAGTGAGGATGCCCAGGAACAAATGAAAGCCAGTGCTTCAGGCTCGGCTGTCGGGGAATCTGCACGAATGTCCTCCCCTGTGGAGATGTGCTCGAAATTCCCGCATGCGACTAGCCTAGCTTTGTATTTGGGACGATAGCCGGGGGTGCCTTTCAAATGTTCATGTTTGTCGGTGAGAACCCACTTGGTGGGCACGCAGATGTGTCCTTGGCTAAGCAACTCCTGCACTTGCTTCTTTGAGCAAGGTATCACAGCGTGAAATTCCTGATACTTGGCCCACTCCGCGAGCATGGCCTCGTCCAACCCCAACTGCACCTCGGCCGGGCTGTTGTGGTAGTCCAAAAGTGAGGCTAGGAAACCTGTTCCAACTTCCTCGTCGTCTGAGGAGCGCATGTCGTCTGCTCGCTCAGGCTCCTCCTGACGGGGCTGCTCTACTTGGGGTGATGGAATACGCGGTTGTGGGAATTCCAAGTCTTCCATCATCTGGTGTTCATCTGCGCGCAACTTCCCCAAGTGATTCATAGTGAACCCGATGATGCTGAATCTCTGCCCTTCATGGGGTTCCACCCTATGGAGTTTCTTTGGATCAAAACGAAGGACTTTGCCTCGAGTGGTGTGTAGAGTCCCGGGAACAAGGTTGCCACAAACGTCAATCACTGTGTTTCCCTCAGGGTTTTCTATCCACAGGTGACCTCCTTTCGAATAATTTCCCAAACTCATGGTGAAATTGAGCGACCCCGTCAAAGTGGAGTTGTCTTTGTGCAAACTTGCCCGCGATTCCCTTACTTGGATCCCATTCCAAGTGAACTCGGTGTAGCCTGCCTTCTCACAGTGATGCCTCAGGAAGCGGTTCAAATAGGTCACAAAACACGGGCGCTGCTTAGTAGGATTAGAAATCCCAACAAAACCACCGTGCCTATAAACACCGAAGCTAGCGGCAAGCTCATCATCTGTTGCGTCTTGGAACATCGCTCTTTTCGTCCTCTTCGGTTTGTGTTCCTTGCACAACCTGAGTAGTTCGAGACAGTGGCTCGTCTCGAAGGCCATTGCTTCCAGGAGCTCGCTTGCCTTTGCTTCTACAGGATCGGTGTCCTGTGCCTCAGCCATCAGCGCGCTGGAGCTTTGTCTGGGCGGGGAACGAGTTCTTTCCCTGCCCGTCTTATCACTGGGCGAAGTCTCCTTGCTTGTGATGGCGGGACTCTCGGCCGCTGCGACTCTCATGGGAGTAGAGGGAGCCGACGCTAAGCCAGTGTTCGGTCTGGGGGTAGAAGGCGCTGTTACTGGATCCTTATCTCTTTCGTCGAGATAACGTTGCTCTGGACCGTGGACAATGGAACCTGGCAGAACGGGCTCTCCGGTCAGAACTCGACGTGCAGCTACTTCGACCTCATCTGCAGGCCTCATCTTTCTGGCATTGACCAACACAGGCACACCCTCATGCAGCAACCAGTATGCATTCTCTGCCTCGCGCCCTATCACGCGGCTTGCAGTTGACCACACAGTGGAAGTTGAACCGGGCAAATTGTCTCTTCGGTAAATGACTAAATCGCCCACCTGGTACTCCATGTCCATGGGAGCTGCATTCCTTTGCAATGCACGAGCAACCTTCCTGGACGAGTCCAAATGCACGAAGGCTTTGCGGGCTTCTTCCCGGGCTCTATGTCGGGAATAGAAAGGAGTGGTCTCATCGATACGGGCCAACAAAGTTCCCATGCTCTCATCTTCATCCATGACTGAACCTGGTGTCCTAGGTCGTTTGCCTAGCACATGCTGTGATGGGCTGAAACCTTGATGTCTGGACAGGTCATTCTTTGTAGTCACACATTCACTGACCACCATAACCATGTCCTCCCAAGACGAGGGCTGAATCTCCTGCACTGTTTTCCTTACCAGTGCCTTGAGCAAACCACCATGTCTTTCGACCTTCCCTATGGTCTGTGGAGATTCTAAGGGTGCATTTCGGAGATGAATCCCATGTTGTCCCATGTAACCTGCAAACTCTCCCTTGAACTGCGTTCCCCTATCAACCACTACATGCTGTGGATGTCCTGCCCACGATACCCATCGCTCCATGAAAACCTGCAAACATTGCCGCGCGCTGGGATTGCCACCTCCTGACTTTATTAGGGCTACTTGTTGGAAGCTGGTTCCCATGTCGACCATGTTGACTGCAGTGTCGCGGGTACCATCGACATCCTTTACTTCCATGCAATCTATGCCAAGTGTGTGATTGAACTCTTTCGGAAACACCGATTCCCCTGAGACTGGATGATGTCGCGGAACTGGTGCAGTGTCTAGACAAGCCTTACATCGGTGAAGGCGGGCAGCTAGGATGAACTCCTTGGATGCCTTGCTCTGCCTAAGGACCTGCTCCAGGACTTTACCTGGGAGATGACCGAATGCCCTATGGAGTCGCCTGATAGCAACCCTCGTGCGCTGTGGGAGCGAACGCCAAGCTGCTCTGCGTTCTTCCTCCGATGCCGGAGTACCTGGGAAGGACAGTTGCTCGAGAATGAGTTGCTCTCTCTCTTCAGGGGTGAACACTGAGGCCCCATTGTCTTGCTCCCTAAGTAGTTCAGCCGTCTCTTCATCGGGGATGAGTTCCTGATCTTCCATGTCGGAACCTAAACCTTCCGACCCTACAAAGCAATTGCGTGTGTAAGAGTTCAGATAAAGCTCCTGTGAAATGTCACGACACGTGGCCCAGAAATCATGTTCTTCCGTGTCTGCATAGCAACGGGGGCTCATGCCATAGCTCTCAGTCCATGTGGACAAAACCTGGAGTGCATCGTCGATGTTCGGCCCTATCCCGGAAACATTCAAGTCTCCTCTTACCTCGACAGTACTTTCGAGTGTTGGGCATCCATAGGGGCTCACCAAGACAATGCTCACTCCAGCTGTGTCAGCTAGGCACTCACACTCTAAACACAACTCCTCGGTGGGAGCGTCGACCCTCAGAACTATGAGACCGGGCACACCTGTCTCCAGGTTGGCAATGGCCTCGCTGATCACCTGCGCGTCAAGGGATTCGGGTACCCATTTGCAGTGTGAAATAGGAGGCTCAGTGGGGGTGAAGGCAATCACGTGGTCCGTAGCCACTGCTGCGTTGAATGCAATCGCTTGCAACACACGATCTCCCGCAACCATTTCCTGAATCCCACTAAGCACCCTCTTCCTCTGTCTGTTGCTGAGTTTGGGCAGTGAGTGTGCAGTGTCACGGGTAATTACTCTGGGACCATCATGTGCAGGGATTAGCTCAAACTCATCGTCGGAACAAAGTTATTAACCCCCTGCAATGACGCCATATATGCGCTCAGCTCATCGCGGTCTGCAAGGGTCTTCGGAACTGTGTCCGGCGCAAAGGCCTTTGGATACAACCAAAGCACAAGGTACGCACCTCCACTTGGCGGAGGCTCGGTTGGGCACACTTGCTCGGCCTTGAATTCACCGCAAACATCCTCGGTACTGTGACCGGGAGGACACACCGTCCCCTGTGGGATCCACACGCCGCCCTTGTTCTTCGGGTTGTCGTTGAGAAACAGCCACCCGATCGGTGTAGGGCCTTTGACATTCCCACAAGGCTTGTATCCCTCCCTCGTGTGAGGGGTCACGGCAGTCACCTTGAAGTTGTGGCGCTCGGACTTGTCCGTGTGTTCCAGATCCTGAGTGGAGAAGGATTTGGGCATGTAAGGGCCAATCCACAACGCCGGACTCGGACGCCCATACAGAAGGCCGCAGAACTCGTGCATCACCTGGTCCGGGAGCAGGTCGACCAGGACTCGCCTGTTCCACGAAAGGCCGGCGTCGTCCGAAGTTGGAATCTCCGTAAGATCCAAAGCGAGGATTGCCGGATCCAACTTGATGCGTTTGCCCTCTCCCGGCGGTGCGGGGCCCTGACTCTTCCTCCACTGCGCCCAGGCGGCGTTAGAGTTGTCAGCCGCCGGATCATGGAAGTAGTTCTTGAGCTCCCGCCTGTCCAGGGGTCGATTCTCCTCAAAGCGCCTCTGCCAGAACTCCTCGTCGGCGGCCCTGTTGGCACGCGCCTCCAAATGTGGGGTCCATCGTCTCACAGGTGGCTTGGGTGGCCTGATGATCCCAATCGCCAGCTCGGGACCACTCATCATCCCAAGCATCCCACTGGTTCTGGTCGTATGAGGAGGTCTCGCGAGCGGTGTCGCGGTAGCTGCTGCTGGGGTGCCACTGATCACGGTCACGATCACGATAAGAAGACGACTCTCGGCGAGAAGACTGCGCTCTGTGATCATCGTGGTGGCTTGGCCTCTCCCTCCGGACCTTTCTCCGGGAGTCACTCGAACTGCTCCTTGCCCTTCGGTCATGGTGTCGATGACGGGAGCGGGAACGACCACCAAACTCGGCAAGGGCATCTTGCAGGAGCTGTTCTGCACGCTCCGCTCTCCGTTCCGCCTCCTGCCTGTCCCGCTCGGCGTCCCGGAGCTTGCTTCGAAGTGACTCGACTTCCTTGTCGCGCAGCGCTAACTTTCTCTCCAGGGTTTGTACCTGGGCCTGAACTGGCAGATGACTTGAGGTGGCAGTGAACACACCTGAGCCCGCTTGCTGATGGAGCCTCCCTGTCAGGGAGCTCGGGCCCCACTTCGCCACGTAGGAGGTGTGCTGCTTGCCACGAAGCCCCAATCGAGTAGCTGCCTGCGATGCTGACTCTCCCTCTCCAGGCGCTACTTCCAGCGGATCTGACGGGACCTCTTCCACCTCATCGTCTGCGTCCAGATCAGTGACTTCCTCCGGAGCTGTGCCCGGGGCCCTTTCAGGCTCTGACTCACAATGCAAAATGCATGTGGTGCTCTCCTTGACATCGCCTTCCAGATACTTGATGAAGTCGGCTAACACCTGTTCGTAGCTCGCCTTCGCATCGTCTGTGCGATGTGTGCACCAGCTGCAATGCCCGCGGCAAGATCCACCCATGAGCGGCCAGGACTGTTCGCTGTTGCAATGCTGCATGGAAACATGAAGTCCTTCAACGCGAAGTAGCATGTGCTCAATGAGGATGCCTCCTGCCACGGAACGGTGCCGGTTTTGTTTGCAGACAACGCTAATGTTCATCGCCTGGTAGCCCTGCTCCATTGACTTCTTCACCTTGGAACGGATGGCTCTGCAATGTTGCAGGAATCCAGGGTCTGCAGCTATCGCCTTCATTATAGAAGGGTGGGAACCCACATGATCTCGGAGGCTTGTATCTCGCTTGCGATCTGCGAGCTCAGGATCCAAACTCCTGGCATTCGGCAAGTATGTCAGATCAAAGAAGATGCCGACGAATGCGCCTCCGAGTTCAAGGGTAGCCTCTGCCGAGCGCATCTCACTAAACATGTCAGCGAAATGCTGTGGCTCCCAAGCGTTGCGGATCTTATCGACGGCCTCCTCGAAGTTGTAGCCGAAGGTAAAAATGTCCGCGGCGTGCTTGGGATTGTCTCCTCCCTCGGTGGGGAAGGTCTCGGAATTCAGCTGCTGAGGCCTCGCCTTAGGCGCGGGGCGCTGTGAAGGTGCGATGGCCATGGCTGCTGTCAAATTTGTGTTCTCACCTTGGGGTTCACTTATAGAGTGCGTCTGCATTGAAGAGGCCTTTCGTTTGGTGACCTTGCTGTTTGCGCACTTATCCGAACCCTCTGCTGCTATTGCTCGGGCAGCACCTGCAGGTGGCGGTGGGATCGCAAATCCTCGAACAAGGCGGGGTTGTTTCCCTTGCAAGAGACCATCGGTTAGGCAAATGCAAAGCAAACCTGAGTCTGATGTCCGATGCAACATGAGTTCAATGGTCTTGTCGGGGTTCGACGGGAGCCTTACGGAGCACGTCCCTAAGTGTAGGTCTTTTGCCATCCCAAGTTGACTCTGGGCATGAAGCGATAGTAGGAGGGGTGCCCCACCAGGGATCTCATGGGAATCTAGCGCCCCACACAATCTTTCCCTATGGGAAACCTCCTCGCCCTCAACTGAATCCAAGGGCAAAAGGCAGAAAGGAAAGGTTCGGGTCCCAAGCGTGGAAGTGGAACCACTCAAACCCTTGAAGGTCTTGGAAGTCTCCTTCGCAAACCTCGTGGAATACCCAAAGCTCGCATACTTGGACATGCTCTCGTGACCCCAATCCTCGCCATGAACCGTTGAGTTACACCCTTCATCCAGGACTGCGAAAACATGTGGGGATGTGCGAATGTTAACCACGGGGAGTTTGCTCAAACTGGGGTTCGTGTCTGTGACTCCCTCGTGTGGTCCGGCAAGCATGGCAACCATTGCTGTACCGGGCCTTCTTCCCGATGAAGCCATCTCCCAACTCGCGCTCGTGGGGCTCGCATCATCCGCATGATCGTCCAGAGCCTCTTGAAGGTAGGCAAACAAGTCTCCCCTCGTTATCGAAGGTTCGGTGACGAAGTGACCCTCAACTGCCTCCTTGAACTGTTCAAGGGCTGGTACGACCACTTCTACAGGCACTCGGTCCCCTGTTCTGCCCACTATAGAGCGCATCATGTCGAAGTCTAGGGTGTTCGTGTCTCGCAGCTGTGCTGCGGCTGCGTCCCTAGCTTTCTTCTCTTCTTGGGGCAGTTCATCTAGGATCATGCCACAAAGCTTGCACTTGATTCGGCTGGTTGTCTTGCTGGAACCTGAACGATCTACCTGGGCATGCGTGCATGTGGTAGGGTCGACCTGAACCTGTTCTTTGCGAGTCTTGGTTACCGTGCCACAAAACTTGCATGTGCGCGTGTCTATGTACGAATTGCTCCCTGTCTTGCTAAAGGTCTTACAACCACCCCTGCACTTGGGCCGGAAACCGGTACTGGATGAGGCGGTGCCTTCAGCGTTGGCTGCGCGGTCAGCAACGGGAGTTGGGGGCATCATCGTACTAAGAGGGATGTCTCTTCTACGCACTTCTATGGGGTCCGTGTCTTCTACCACATAGTGCTCATGCACCCAGTTCAGGAAATCACCCAAACACTTGGAGGGACACTTCTGTGTTTGACCCCAAAGGACATACCCAGGATAGGTGTGTAGCACTCGTTCATACGTCAGGCCTTTGTGATGACCAAAAGTAAACAAGGTGTCAGATCCTGGCGGTGGGCTGTCACGCATGGCAGTGGCTTCCGATCTGCGAACACGAGGACGCTCTGAGGGTCCTCCGCTCCTTTCAGCGGGATAGCCCTCCATGTCTCTTGAAGTGTTGGAAAGGTGAATGGCAGGGGTCTCATCGTCCGATGCGTCACTCAGTGCGGCGAGGTAGGCTTGTGAGGAGGATGCCATCCCGGGCTTCCCGGGTGAGGCGGACTTCTCTGCACCTGGACCACCCTTACTGGAACCCTTAGGACCTCCGGGACTACCCTTAAACCTGCACTCAGCGTCGCCGGCCCAATGGCCGATTGCGCCGCATCGCAAGCATCGGCTGCGAGCCTTCAGCTCGGCAAGTTTGGCTTTCCTGTCGGCGATAGAAAGATTGGAAGGAGGGACCTTACCACCCTTCTTACCGCCAGATTTACCAAAACCCTTACCTTTGTTACCCTTCACATTGGCAAGTGTGGTTTGGGCTGCGTATGCCAGCTGCAATGCTTCGGCGTGCTCCTCGCCTGGCTCGCCTCCAAGCTCTGTCTGCATAGCTGTATATGCATTGAGAGCCAAGGCTAATGCACTGTCATCAACCCATTCGCCTTCGTCTTCCTCGACCTCATGCTCCTCGGCTACATAGGCCTGACTTTCTGGCTCCTGGTACTCATACTCATCATCCTCCACGAAACCTTGTGTCATGTAACCGTACCGAGCCTTCTGCTGAAATGAGGTATTCTCCCACCGGGGCTTGGACCATGTTCTAGCGGCAGGCTTGTCTTTCTCAACGAGCAAGCGTTCACGCATATGCACAACACTATGATGCTTGATCAATACGCGCGCATACTCATCTACTGTCTCGGCTTGTGCTGCGGTGCGCACCATGAGCTGCTCTTGGCGCGACAAACCAGACAGTTCCACAAGGAGATTGGCACGCATGGCCTCTGACAACCTGACTTCTGGGTCCAATTCCCTTAGGGGTAACCCACCAGCGCTTTCGCCGGGAAATATAAGACAACATCGGCTCCCCCGATTGTTTGGACAAGGGACCTGTCAGCAACTGGCCTTGCCTGAACAATTCCGATGCCTCTTCCCCCTGCAAGGGAAATGCTTGGTCTTTGACCTTCTGAATGAGAAGATCAATGCCGTCGTGCTTCAACAACCTCTCGAGACCTATGTCTCGGGCGATAAGAAAGGCGTCGCCACGGAGGCCTTCCAGCGTCTTCTGAACTGCATCAGACATGTCAAGATCACTATCGCGGACCGAAGCGAGTGTGGGAACAGGCTCAGTCTCAACCGAAGCTTGCCCGTCGTCCTCAACCTCATAATCTTGTGGCTGTTGCTCTTCTTCGCCACCGTCTCCTGACGACATGGACTCCGCACCGGCCTGGCGGCCGCGCCGGCGTCCTGGGGCACTTGAAGGACTGGCTGCCATTCCACTGCTCTCATCACCTGTGTGACGGTCCGGGGATCTTATGCCACCACCTACCCACTTTCGTGGGGATGCAGAACGGCTGAGTTGGTGGCTGGAACGAAGGTCTTTCAAGACCTCTCGACGCTGCCTTTCACGATGCTGGGATACACGGGCACGTGTGCGAAACTCCCAGTCGTGGAAGGACGCTGCGGAGCCGCTGTAAATGTAGCTTCCTGACTTGGTTTCTGCTGGGGTGTCAAGGCTAAGTACAGGGTCGTACTTTAACCCAGCTACCGACATGGTGTCGGATTTGCGCAGTGCAGTGGTCTATTGTAGACTGGCAATGCTGACGTTCTTTCGGCTTCTTGGCTCACACCCAAATCCCCCTTAGCTTTCTCTTCCGGACGAGATTGCTGCGAGGAATGAAAAACGTGTCACTGAGCTCCACAGCTCCGCTACCAGTTTCAGAAGCGGGGTACTGGGGCCGGAGTCACAGTGACTAGACTACGTAGCTTGCTTTTTCCGATTGAGCCCAAGGCGCCTGTCATGCAGGAACTTGTCTCATGAATGCTATTTGACGCTTGCATGTTTGTTCATGCCTATACAAGTGTTCGTCTAACAGCTTCTGCACTATACGAAATCCAACTCGGCGCTTGTGTACAGGAAAATCTCACAACCCTAAACCCTAAACCCTAAGCCCTAAACCCTAAACCCTGGCTAGAGTCTCCTAACCCTAGACCCTGCCCAAGTAACCCCCTATGCGCCGGGCCCAGGTCGTCTCCGCATCCGCCGCAATGAGCCATGCCAGGGGCACGGGCGCATGGGTGTGTGGCTTGGGTTTAGGGCTGAGTGAGGGTTTAGGGGGTTTGGGGTTTAGGGCTAGGGTTTAGGGTTTAGGGTTTAGGGTTAGGGTTTAGGGTTTGGGGGTTTGGGGGTTTTGAGGGTTTTGGAGGGGAGTTGGGGGGTTGAGGGGTCTAGAGTCCAAGTCTTAGGAGAAGGCAAGGAGACTGTCATAGTACAGAGGGTAATCAAATCCAAAATCATTTCAAAAAACCATAAACCCCTGAAACCTAAACTAAACTTCCGGGATAGAATGGTTTCCCGACCCTGGCGAGTCTAGGAGTTCTTCAGGCTCCGAGCAATGACGTTGGCGCAGCATCAGCGGTTTTGGGGCTTAGCGCACCCATGTCAGTAGGTTGTTTACTAGCATCCGCAAAGTGTCAAGCAATACATGCACTCACAAATCTGCTGTGCTTTCAACTGGCTTGGAACTAGGGTTTGGGGTTTGGGGTTCAAGAAAAAGGGGGGAGGGGAGGGAGGGAGGGGGAGAGGAAGAAGGGGGAAGGGCCGGGGGGGGAGAGGCGGAGGGGGGGGAAGGAGTGCTTGCAGTCGAAACAGAAAACGACTCTCTGGTACATCGGCCGTTTGAGCTTGCGGCGAAGGAAATCTCTTGTGTTGGGATGAGACTTGATGCCACTCTGTTCGATCCAAGATCCTCTATGCGTAACATGCTGACACCGATGCTGCACCATGACACGCACATTCGAGTAGAGCGAAAGGGAGGTGAAGAACTTGGTGCAGCACAAGACCTGGATGCTGAAGGGATTCGGGTTTAGGGCTACCTGCTTCTGAAGCTCATCGACCGCGGCTGCACTCAGCGCTTCTTGTCGCTGAACGGGAAGGGGAGCGGCTCGCCATCTTCCTGCTCGGGGCTTGGCTTAGGACTTGGGGCTCAGAGCTTAGCTCAAGCCCCTAACCGCCGTACTTCTGGAACCCTGATAGGCCTAAGACCTTGGAGATTCCTTGAGGCTCTATGCTGCTTGGGAGACCCGATACCATAAAACCCTAAACCCTAGAAAAAAATGCAACAAGAACTTTCTTGGCTCGGCTCGGCTACGCAGAGGGTTCAGAGTTTAGGGCTTAGGCTGTTAGGGTTTAGGGTTTTGTTTTTAGGGCCGTAAGCTTTAGGGTTTAGGCTTGCGGCGGGGGGGGGGGGGGGTTTTAAGCTTCCGCTAAGGTTGTAGACTTCGGGTTTCTAGGGCTCTGGGAATCTCAGGTTCAAGGGCTTCACACAACATCGCTGCTTTTGAGCCGTAAGCATGAACCTATGATAAAGCTCAGGGCTACCCTAAACCTCCCAGCCCCAAGCCCCCCAATTAACTACAACCCCCGCCCCCCCCCCCCACCCCTCAAGGCCCCTAAACCCTAAATCCTGAACCCTAAGCCCTAACCCTAAACCCTAAACTCTAAACCCTAAACCCTCAACCCTGAAACCCGACACCCTAAACCAACCCACAACCGCACCACAGGGGTGAGGGGGCGGGGAGGGGGGAGGGGAACCATTGGGGAGAGGGCGGGGTGGGGGGGCCCGCCGCACCCCGATCATATATGTAGGTACCTATTTCCCTCATTTCCCACCACACACCAGGGGTTATCAGGGTTCGGAACAATTGCTAGTAGTACTCCCCCACCAGTCCCTTTGTTCTTATACGATCATACCCTAAACCCTAAACCCTAAACCCTAAACCCCCCCCCAAACTCCTGTCTAATTCTGAAGGCCCCCATATTGCACACGCTGCCCCTGGCCTCGTGCTCGAAGCCCACCTCCTCGAAGATCATCTTCTCTTTCGCCTTCATCTGCTTCACCTCGGCAGTTACCCTAAACCCAAACCCTAAACCCTAAACCCTAAACCCAAAACCCTAAAGCCAAAGCCCCAGACCCCTGAACCCTCAAACCTAAAAAGCCCGAACCAGCCCCTCCACTAGGTCCTGACTCAGACATAGTCCTCGTCCTCACCTTCACCATATCAAAACCCAAAAGCCTCCCGAAACCCTGAACCTTCGAAACCCTAACAGCCCTAAACTAAACCCTAAACCTTAAACCCTAAAGCCTACAAAATCCAAACCCAAAACCCTAAAACCCTAAAGCCTACACCCTAAACCCTAAACCCTAAACCCCTGCGCCGACTAAGAATCCTTCGAAGCTTCTTCAGGCGACCCCAGATTTCCTGAAGGGTCCGACTCCGCAAATAAAACCCTGGGATTTAGGGTTTAGGGTTCTGAGTGTAGGGTTTAGGATTTAGGGTTTAGGGTTTAGGGTTCAGGGTTCAGGGTTCAGGGTTTAGGGTTTAGGGTTTAGGGTTCAGGATTCAGGGTTTAGGGTTTAGGGTTTAGGGTTCAGGGTTCAGGGTTTAGGGTTTAGGGTTTGGGGTTTAGGGTTTGGGGTTTCGGGTTTCGGGTTTCAGGTTTAGGGTTCGGGTTTAGGGTTTGGGGTTTAAGGTTTAGGGTCTAGGGTTTAGGGTTTAGGGGCCTTTTGGGGGGTAGAATCTGGAGAAAAGAGTATGTACCCTTTAGGTATAGCAATAATAGGAACCCAGAACAAAAAAATGCAAAGGATAGTACTTCAAAACCCTGTTGGGGCGCTCTGTCAGCAACGAGGCCAATCCGGCCCAGGGCTTCAGCCCAGTGCGGGATTTAGGGTTTCGGGGTTAGGGTTGAGGGCTTAGGGTTTAGGGTGTAAGGTTTAGGGTTTGGGGTTTTGGGACCTAAACTCCCCACCCCTCGCAACAAACTCGCTTGGGGATGCGCCCACTTGACCCACCTTCTCTGCGGTGTGTCTTTCATCCAACCCTGCGCAGATGTTGGACTGGGTTACCCTAAACCCTAAACCAAACCCTAAACCCTAAACCCTAAACCCTAAACCCTAAACCCTAAACCCTAAACCCTAAACCCTAAACCCTAACCCTAAACCCCTCCTAAACCCTAAACCCTGCATCCCGAGCCCCAGGAATGGAGGGTTTTTTTGGACTGCAGGGCTTTGGGCTCGCAGACTTAGAGCTTGGGGTGCCCATACTTGGAGGTTTAGGGTTTAGGGTTTGGGGTTTAGGGTTTAGGGTTCAGGGTTCAGGGTTTAGGGTTCAGGGTTCAGGGTTTAGGGTTTAGGGTTTAGAAGTGTAGCTATGACCCACTCATAACCCCCTTCCTTCAAGTACCCCAATGGGATTGTACTTGGCTTGCAAGTACAGTCAATAAGTACCCTGAACCTCCAAGTAGGGTACCCCGGGCTCTAAACCCTACCACCCTGAAGGAGAAGGAGTCGGCTACTGGGTTGTGTTCTTAAACCCTTTGAGAATTATGTCTGAATACGTTCCCTTACAAAGAAAGAAGGGAGAGTATAGAATATCCCTAAACCCTAAACCCTAAACCCTAAACCCTAAACCCAGGCGGCAACGCAAAAGCCAATAAGGGGGTCACTTGCATCAGTCGGCAGCTATACTTTTGCAGCTCAGGGATGCCTCGGCCCCCAAACCCTAACCTGGGTTTAGGGTTTAGGGTTGAGGGTTTAGGGTTTAGGGTTTAGGGTTTAAGGTTTAGGGTTTAGGGTTTAGGGTTTAGAGTTTAGGGTTTAGGGTGTAGGGTGTAGGGTGCCATGGCAGCAGACCTGGCACGTTCGGGGGGTAAGGCTTGGGGTGTAGCTTCGGATGCCCTAAAACCTAAACCCTAATTTCAACGAAGATCTTGCTTTCACTTGTTCACGGGCTATTATTGTAATATACTTGTTGTGCCCGCGAGGTAATAAGAATACTAAAAGACCATACAATTTTTATAGTTAGATTATAGGCGGCCTTTGCGCATGAATGTTGATAATACCGTGAGCTCGCGAACGCGAAGTCAATTCAACATGGAAATCATGCGTCCTTCATCCTTATGTTTCCATGATAAAACTGGCTTGTTCATTCGACTGCCTCGTTCACTTCAAAAGGCCAACAAAAGGGAAAAATGATAGGGCCTTTTTAGTTCATTCCTTTCACCTTCATTTCGAAGTCTATGAATCATCAACTGTGGGCTTCGGTCTCAAGTTCACGCATTTATTAATAGAGTCCGTGCGCTCACTTGCAATTCTATTCTTAGATCGCTCACTTGTTCTCTTCACGGTTTCGTTCAAATGTTCGCGCGCTCACTGCATGTTTTCATTCACTTGTTCACATTGTTCTCTCTTGTTTCGTTTATTCGTTCATTAGTTTCACGCACTTCACTACGTTCACTTGTCATTTGATTATAAAAATAGTATTCTCTTCACGTTCTCTATTACAAGGAGTAAGTGGGCCAGCGCACACGACGCATGAATAGAGAACAGAGTGAAGAAACTCTAAATCCTAAAACCTAAACCCTAAACCCCAAACCCTTCGCTACAGCCTGCCGCAAGTGGGCGCGCCTTGGCTTCTCGGTGCTTCTTCCACACATGTGTGCCCGGCACCTGCGTCGAAGAACACGGGTTCCAAAAGCGGAAGGGCTTAGGG